AGACTCGAAACAGGTGAACTACTTGACTAATTCCAGTACAGAACCTATATGATGTTGCGCATGCGCGACTGAACGAATCACTCCCCGAGACGACTCGTTCTTCCCGAGTCACATTAAAGATTCGTTCAAAATGAACGAATCGTTCAAGAACGACCCAACACTAGACCAAAGTCCCTTTCTCGGTTCGACTTGAAACAGCAATGCACAGACTAATCGCTTTATGACATAAAAGCACCGTGAGAGCTACAGAGAGCAGATAGCTCTGCATGCTTTCGAATCGCCCTCACGGTACTTTGATGTCCGATCGGTATGCACTGCGCTGCTTCAAATCGAACACACCTCATCTCACAGCCGGTCTGTTTTGATGGCACACTTACGCTCACATCCGCATGTAAACATGTCGTCGGCGTGGAAGTTCTTCATGGTGAGTTAAACAGACACAAATTTCTCAATTTGTAATACAATATTGACTGTTTTTGCTCAAGTTTGCTGACGACGTTTCAATCAAAGCCACAGCAGAACTGTTTTGTGTCTCCGAGCAGCACAGCAGTGTTTTGTTACTGAATGAATCCACGTTTTTGAACAAATCGGAGTGAGTCAATGATTCAGTAACCCATTCATAAAGACATTAGTCACTTGCCTTGTTTTTGAATGAATCAGCCGTTTGAATGAATGACTAATGACTCGCTCATTAAAACAGTCATTTACCATCATCTACTGGTGGTTTGGTTTCATATTTAAAATAATTGAATTTTTCCCAACATTTTTAGCTTGTATGTTCAAAAATATTTAAAACGGTAACCTTATAAAATTATTTATACATTTTAAATGTTGTGGTGTAATAAATGCATTTATGGCACCGTAGCTTCATCAAACAGTCTGTGTAAATACATCTAATGCCACTTCAGATGCAGCTTCTCTTTCCTCTGAAAGATGGAGTTTGTTGATAGTATGTGCACTCTAATGTGAACATTAAAATTAGCAAAAATAAATGACTCCACTACTCACAAAGAGAAGTATGAACACAGATGACAACAGAGTTGCACTGTCCAAAAAGTTTTTTTTTACTTGAAGCATATGTTGTCCTTTATTACAACAAAATAAAGGAAATTTCCGTTACCATAATGCACCAGAACGCTTCGTTTACATGTTAAATTCTCAAAAATGTTCTTACAAGGGTCATATGAAAGTGAAAGTGACGTGACATGTGGCCAAGTATGGTGACCCATACTCGGAATTAGTGCTCTGCATTTATCCCATCCAAAGTGCACACACACAGCAGTGAACACACACACACCGTGAACACACACCCGGAGCAGTGGGCTGCCATTTTTTTGCTGTGGCGCCCGGGGAGCATTTGGGGGTTCGGTGCCTTGCTCAAGGGCACCTCAGTCGTGGTATTGAAGGTGGAGAGAGTGCTGTACATTCACTCCCCCCACCTACAATCCCTGCTGGTACGAGACTCGAACCCGCAACCTTTGGGTTACGAGTCCGATTCTCTAACCATATGCAGAACTATTTCAACTTTTTGACCTCTTGTGAGTTGGCAGGTATGTAAAGTTCAGCTATAGTTTAGTTATTCTATATAAATGCTAAAAATTAACCACTGTAGGGAAATAGCGAGGAGAATAACAACGTGCAGTAAACGGTAAAACGGTTTGCACTACAAACCAGTGTTTTCATAATTAGGATAATACATAAAAATAATATGGTAAGACACACCAGTTTGAAATATCAAGTCGCAAAACAATCGGTTTTGTACAGCAAAAAATAGCTGGAAGCGGGTGACACCGGAAGCCAAACACATTAAATGTACAAATGTCCACTCCTGCTCTTATGGGAAAAATAAGGTGGATACTGGGCTGCTTATAATTTATGTCCCCACCAATGTCAAAATCATACATATGCCCTTGCGTCACATAACACAAAAAGAAACTTGTCTTTGGTTTATTCTTCATTATAATACTATTACTGTAGCTGTTAATTATAATTATATTTAACAAGTCTTATTATAACTACAGTGATTATACTCATTTATAATTCATATTCATATTTGTAGGTGTTTTTTTTCTCTCTCTTATGTGTTCTAACAACATCAGAATTCTGAAAGCCAAAATATTTTAACAATATTTTTGGTGAGTTTGTAATGTAATAAATTTCTTATGTAATAATTATTACATTATGAGCTCAAGATTTTATTACGTTTTGAGAAAATTATTACATTATGGACATTCTATTACAATAATACTGTAATACTTATTACATTATGTGCAGTTATTACATTATGAGTTGCTACAGGGTTCACTTTTATGTTCACATTTCTCTGCTCTTTTTTTTTTTCAAGTTACATAATTATTTTTTTTACTTTTATTTCAGAGTTGATTAAAAAAAACAAGGAGAATGAAGAATCAAGTGAAGTTGAGGAGACAAATCATGTCAAACCTGGAGAAAAACCTTTGAGTTGCTCTCAAACCAAACAGAAAGATTTAAACCAAAACAGAAAGATTTAAATAAAAGAAGAGCCAAGAAATCTTTCACCTGCACTCAGTGTGGAAAGAGTTTCACATACAAACACACTCTTGATGTTCACATGAGAGTTCATACTGGAGAGAAACCATTCACTTGTGATCAGTGCGGGAAGAGTTTCACACAAGCAGCACACCTTTATGATCACAAGAACATCCACACTAGAGAGAAGCTGTATGCATGTGATCAGTGCGGTAAAAATTTTTTATGGGCTTCAGCCCTGAAGCAGCACTTGACAGTTCATACAAAGGAGAAGCCACATTTGTGTCATTTGTGTGGAAAGAGTTTTTCATGTCTACCAAATTTGAAAGTACATCAGAAAATACATATTGTTGTGAGAGAGTACATGTGCTGTGAGTGTGAAAAGACTTTTACTTCAGCAAACTGTTTAGTATCACTGCACTGAATGTGGGAAGTGTTTCAATAATTCATCTAATCTACACAGTCATACAAAAAACAATCACAGTAAGTAGATCATCTTCAGATCCAGCACTTTCAGGCAGTGGCGGACTGGCCATCTGAAGCACCGGGAGTTTTCCCAGTGGGCCGGCCAATTGCGTAAATATATAGAATGAATTATAGTAACTGTGAGCTGAGGTAAGATGTAAGCAGTTGAATGGCGAGACAATTCAGCAATATTTGCGATTAAAAAAAAAAAAAAAAAA